TTGCTGTGCCACTGAGCTAAATCCCCAGCACCTGAAATTAATTATTATGATGTTCCAACCTTGCCTTTTTTGCTTACGTTTGCTTTGACTTTTCTGGTTCTCTTGTATTTCTATATAAATTTTAGGATTTTTTTTCTAGTTCTGTAAAGACTGTTATAAGGCTTTTTTTTTTTTTTTTTTGTACCAGGAATTGAACTCATGACCTCATGCTTGCCAGGCAGGCACTGTGTTATTGCACTATATCCCTGGCCCAGGAATTTATTTTTTTGTCTTTTTGAGATAGCGTCACACTATGCAGTTCAGGCTTGCCTTGAGCTCACTCTGAGGCCCAGGCTGGTCTCCAGCTTGCATTGATCGTCCTGCCTCAGCCTGCTGAGTGCTAGGATTACAGATGTGCGCCACCACACCCGGCAGGAATTTTTTATTTTGGTTTCTTTTGTTGTTTTTTTGTTTTGTTTTGTTTTTCTCCGGTACCAGGAACCAAACTCACGACCTTGCGATTGCCAGGCAGGCGCTTTGCCGCTGAGCTAAATCCCCAGCCCCTCTTTTGTTTTTTTGAGACAAGATCTTGGTATGTAGTTCAAGCTGCGCTCGAATGCACTATAGTAGCCCAGGCTGATTCAAACCCAGCTGTCACTGAAATTTTGATGGGGATTATACTGAATCTGTAAATTGCTTTTGGTAATGTGGCCACTTTAGCAACACTAATTCTCCCGACCTAACCAGGTGTGGTGGCGTGCACACCTGTAATTGCAGCACTCGGGAGGCTGAGGTAGGAGGATCATTGTGAGTGCGAGATCAGCCTGGGCTACAAAGTGAGCTCAAGGCCAGCCTGAATTGCATAGCAGGACCTGTCTCAAAAAGACAAAAAAAAATTCTGCCAATCCATAAACATGGCAGAGCTTTCCGTTTTCTAGTGTCTCCTTCAATTTCTTTTGTCAGCGTTCTATACCTTTTATGCAGAGGTCTTTAGCTCCTTGGTTAGGCTGATTCCTAGGTATTTTTTAAACTACTGTGAATGGAATTATTTTCCTGATTTCTTTCTCAGCCTGTTCATTATTGGGGTACAGGAAATTATTGATTTTTTAATCATGATCCTGTGTCTTGCTACTTTGTTGAATTTATCAGCTCTAAAAGTTATTTGGTGGAGTCTTTCGGGTCTGGGAAGTATAGGATCATCCTAGCTGTAAATAAGGGTGATTTGACTTCCCCTTTCCTGTTTGTATCCCCTTCATTTATTTCTCTTTTCTAACCGATCTGGCTAAAATTTCAAGCCCTATCCTGAACAGGAGTGATGCTAGAGGACATCCTTGTCTCATTGCTGATTTTGGAGGAGACACTTTCAGTTTTTCCCCATTTGGTATGATGTTGGGATGTGGAGTTTTAAGATAAACGTTCTTTAACAGTATTTAAAACTTCATTAAATAGCTTTCTCAGGCTGGGGATTTAGCTCAGCGGCAAAGCGCCTGCCTGGCAAGTGCAAGGTCATGAGTTCGGTTCCCGGTGCTGGAGAAAAACAAAAACAAAAAAAAAAAAAACAAAAAAAATAGCTTTCTCATCGACAAGTTTGCAATTCACAGAAGATACTTCAGCCAACGCCATACATAGATTTGCAAACGTAGCTTCTGACAAATGCCTAGGGATCCTCAAAGGTCCTGAGCTGATGTGTTAGGTTCGTGCATCTTCCCACCAGGATCACGTGTCCCCCTGGCCTCCGCCTCCTCCCCTCTGCTTCGGCGCTGGGCCGCGTATCTTATTTGCTTCCTATCAGGCACAGTTCATCTCAGTACAGACTTTCAGGGGTATCAAAGGGAGCGGTGCACCATCAGTCTACAGGGCATCGAATGAGCTGTGAGGCGCCCCACTGTCTCGCTGTGACATGAGGCCCTGAGCGCTTTCTCAATAGGAAAAAACTGCTCCCTCCCTGGTTGAGCAGCTGACTCTGAAGAAGGAAAGTTGGCGCACAGAGAGGACCTTGGAAGAGGGTAGGATGGCTGTCACGCAAGGTTCCCCTACCAACCCATTCTAGCATCCCTAAGGACTTTATTTATGAGCATCCTCAAGGACACCCGAAAGCCAGGCGTGGTGGGGCACACCTGTAATCTCAGCATGTGGGAGGCTGAGGCAGGAGGATCGTTGCAAGTTCGAGACCAGCCTGGGCTACAAAGTGAGCTCAAGGCCAGCCTGAACTGCATAGCAAGACCCTGTCTCAAAAAGACAGAAAAATAGGGCTGG